TTGTATGTACAACTGTACTTTTGAATGTATATGACGATAAACTTGAACTTATTGAGTTAAGCATGGCTTTGACATCCCAGCAGCTCCAGCCAGATATTTGTTCCACAAACTCGGAGGGGCAACCGAAAACCTTCCTGCCCAGTAGACCTGACAGACTGCGTGGCTGGGCGCAGCAGCAGGAATGAGGTTTAGCTTGGGTGTGTGCAGAGTTGTGGAGGCTGGAGAGATACTGCAAACTGTCACCACATCTATTTCCTCCTTCTCTCGCACTCCAACTCTATCCCCCTCCAATTAGCAGTGAAATACAACTTTAGTGATTCGCGAGCTGCACTGAACGTCCACAAAGGCCGGTTTGTCCAAAGGTCATCTGCCTCCGTCTGTCGGGACCGTCCGACCGCCCTACAGCCCCTTTAATAGACTAGAATGGGGAAAGCATAGGGGGGGTGAACTAAATGCCAAACCAAAATGCTGAGCATGCAAACAACTCACACATCAACGGACCTCACCCCAGACTTTAACCAAAAACACAATCACTTCATGGCTTGTTTGCTGGGATGCATGACAGAAACAGTTTGGCATAATAGAAGGAATTATCCAAAGAAAATATGGCAAATAGTCAGATGTTGACAGAGCGTTACAATAAATAAAATAATAATTACAAGATAAGCGAAAGACATTGGAAGCGTGTGTACAAATGTTTACAGTGGTTTATCTGTTTATCTCTGACTCATAACACAACCCTGTTTTCAGTCTGGGAGACCAAGAGTACCCCCCCCCCCCCCCCCTTGACATGAAACTGAGATGTTTTGCAGCTGTTCAGTGAGGGACAAAATGTAACCAGAAGGATGTTGATTTTCAAGCACAAAGTCTTAAACACATCGTTTTGTGGAACTTTATAGCTCATTTCTGGACACTTATTAAAGAAGGTGTAACATTGTTTTGGTTATACATATATGTGTCTGTCCTAATATTTCAGGCTGTTTAGACTATTCTGGGGTGTTGCATATACAGGCTGTCTATTCATAGACACATATACTACTCTGCTGTCAAGCTGTCTGACAACAGATTACCAGAACGTTTCTGTTGAGATTCAAGGTGAAAAAAATACGCAACAATTTTTAGCATGAGGATAATTAACTTTTAAATAATTTAACAAAAAAAGCCATTAGAAAAACACGAAATCGTTCTAAATCCCCTTTCATCATTTAAAAATATATATATATTCTTACAAAGGTACTCACATTAGAGTTGAGTTTAGTCCACGCGCCTCTTGTGTAGCCGCTCACGAGCCATGATGAACACCAATCAAGGCGATGAAATCCACCTGACGGGCGTCTGTATGAAACGATAAGTGAAATAAATGCGACTGTATATTCTCAGAATGAACGGTGTTCATGCTGACTAACGCCAGCTGGATTTTGACTCGGAAATGCGCGAGACTTTCCGGAGTCTCCAGCTGGCACGGAGTGAGGAGAGAGGGGAGGTGCACGTGTGTAGCAGCGAAGGAATCAAGGCAGCAGAACCAATCTTATCTTCATATCAACCTCGAAATGCTCATAAAATCACATACAAAGCAAATCAATAGATCTGCAGGCTGCATCTGCCAGCTTCTAGAAGTGATCCTGATTAGGGAAATGCTCAAAGGTTTGATGGAATAGAATAATCCAAAAAAAGCAACTACCCCTGGATTAAAATGTGTGACATATAATGCAGTTATGTTTTATTTCTCCTTTTGATTCATTGTTTCAAATCATCTTATTAAAGCTACTGTATTATAGTGTTTTAGACCAAATTCTGATGAACAATGCCCCAGTGTCCTCATGAAGCTCCATGTAGCTGTGTACCATAACATGCACGCCATTTACTGTAAATGGTCCATTTCATTTGATTTGGCTGCATCGCAGCAGTTTTATTTTTATGGACGAACCAGACTCTTTAAATAGCAGCACTCAAGCTTTGAAATAAGGCCCCATGTTGTTATTTAATGCAGTTTAAATGTTCAACCTTTGTCCAGTATGAAACAAAAATGAGTATCAAAAGAAAACATTGTATTGGCCTGGAGCAATTTGGAGAAGAGGTGTCTTTGAAGCTCATTTCTAAACTGGACTTTCATTCTTAAAGGTTCTCTCTTTCAAAATTCAGAGCATTATTTTAGCAAAAGAAAACGATTCGCTATTTAAAGATAAAGTGGCGTAATGTGGCGTAATGTCTACCTGACAAGAAGTCGCTCTCCCTTTGTGGTTCCACCTGAGGTAAAGACTCTTTGTCAGCACTTTTGCTGCTGTTTGCGCTGTTAGCACCGTTAGCTCCAAGCCACCTGCTCAGCCGTCCCCATGTTGAGAGCTGTGTGGAGGCGATCCCTTCAAATATAGATATGCTCTGAATTTTGAATTCAGCACCTTTAAGGACAACCTGTTCAATATTGTGCAATCAGTCATTTTTTGGTTATGTAATACCTACGCCATATCTCATTATTACCAGAACTGTCATGTGCACACAGATGATTGTCTTAGTAGTCATGATGACTCATTCTGAGTGGAAATGTGGATGTTTCACAATGGCACATTTGGCCTAATGATAAAACCACAAGCCCTGTGGAAACAAAACTGAACTGCTGGTCCACACGAATGTGGGACAATGGAATTAATCTCTTAGTTCATAAAATACAGACCACATGTTTGTCCCATTTATTCTGATCAAAAATGTGTGGGCATGTTTTGCTGTTCACCATTTGCCACCTCAAGACTCTTGAGGTTAACCTTAAAGAGGTGAGATGGTTCATTTTTAACAAGTGAAAGCGTCTGCATATGGGAAAACTGACACTGCTTTATGAAGATAAAGTCTCATTTGAATAACTGCCTCCCCTTCAGAGCATATCCATATGCATGAGACTCTGAGCCTAATTGCTGCTAATTCCTACGAAATTGATTGTGATTTATTCACATCTCACAGAGATGCACAAGCTGTGTGTGCTGTGTGAATGAAGTCTAATAGATTGAATTCCCCACAATCACCTGAATCAGTTTTGATCAGTTTGAATACATCAGATGTGCTTTCAAACACACAATTAAAGGATGTTATCACTCTAGGGGTGGGAATGTTGTCGGCCCACCACCATGGTTCAGACTGAGATAGTGCAACACATATTGAATGGATTTCAATAGAGTTCACACATTCATGTCCCCAAAGGATGAATTTAACAACATTAGTGACCTTAACTTTGCATTTAGCACCATCATCGGGTCAAACGTGCGCTTGGTTTATGACCAAATACCTGCAAAACTAATAACATTCCCATTTCCTCAGGCGTACTTTGCTAACCGTCTGAATTAATTATAACTGCTTATAATTGAAACATTTTGCTCAAAAGCACCGCTCAGTTTAACTGCAGCCTCACAGACTTTGCTAGAATGGCCGTGGTAGTAAGGCTCCCCCCCGGCCTTTGCGGAGCTTTATAGTGAGTTTCAGCTCATTGTTTAGATTTCAGACCCGCAACTTTACTGCATTGGTTCACTCTCACCACATTAAAAAGCCAGATACTTCCCTCAGCAGATGGTAGAGACCAAAAAAGAGCTAAAAGAGAGTGAATGTTGGAATTATATTCGCCAGGTTGACACCATGTTACCGACCTGGCAAATATAGTGTTGGATGGATAAATTAGTAACAAGTACTCTATATTAAGAGCGAGGACATGTCAATGTTTAGTTCACAACTTGTTCCCGCTGCCCGCAAAGGGGCAAAAAACTAAATCAGTTCTTGCAGTGCAACACTCACCTTTTAAACTAGGAATTTTGTAACACTAGTCTCTTTTTGCTTTTACTTACTTTCAGTCCCTTTTTCCTTCAACATTTGAAGACATGCACCCTCATACATTATGGAATCTAATTAATTACAACACACAACACAGGCCTGCAGGCTTTTTCTGTCATCTCAAAAATAAAAATGAAAGGTGTGCATAAGCACTTCATGAGGTAAAACATATTTTTGTCATACTGTAATTTGATATCCTTGTAGAAAAGCAAAGCTCATTAAAAAAATAAGAAGAAAAAAATTGTCTGCACGCTGCTTCCATCTGTAACTTTCTTAATGAGTCGATATATGGATGATCACCTTGGAGTGTTTATACGGATTTCGACAGCAAACAGAGGCTTAGCTCTCTTAACTGCTGAATGAGAATCTGTACATAAGTAGTGAAAGGAAGACAGACTGTTGCATTTATTTTCCAAATCTAACAGCAGCAACCGAGTTCATTACACTGCCATTAGTTCAGTCAGTGACCGAGATAATGTCCTCCAATGAGAGTGTGCGCAAGGGAGGACAAACTCTTTTCCAGCACTGCGGTCGTTGACTTTGAGACAGACTGTAATTAATAGCGCTCTGTCCTCTTCTGTGTTATTAGCACAGCTGACCTTTGAATGCATCAGATGAGTGAAGCAACACATCTGGTAAAGCTGCAGTGTTTGGGGAGAGGAGAGGTGAAGGGAATATTAAACAGAGATTGTCAGAGAGAGTAAATTTCCCAGATTATTGCAGGACTTTTCACTATTGATGCATTGATGGATGGTACTTCAATACCCAGATTTTTCTTGAATATCTATATTCTAAATATTAGGATATTAAACATTTTTTATATTTAATGTCTCTGAAAACGATTACATAAGACTTCATCCAAAAAGTATCACCGAAGTAGAACTTTTTTTTAAATGTGAGGATTATTAGAAGATTTAACTAATGACCTCTCTGTCAATGTCCAACCCTGTCTGGATTACAGTTGCATATTCAAACAGTTTAAAACACGTGACTAATGTTGTAAATTGAAAAACAAACAAAAAATTTTTATAAAATTTTGCATTTTATAAAAAAAATATCATCTTTTGGCTTAGAATGACTACAAAATTGAAACAAAACTAAAACGCAACCAAAGAACCTGGTTAGGTTTAGGCAACAAAACCTCAACTTGGTTTTGTTTAGG